AGCTGTTAATCTAGATTTCAGTACGTTTTTGCCTGCACTTTCCCAGTCTTTAGAACAAGAGCTGTGTTATTTCTTAAGAGCGGTGTTTGCAATCGGTTGTTAGTTTCTGACTAAAGCAGTACTAACATCTAGTGGAGGGAGTGTTTTTACACTGGAAACAGCTAACTTGAACTTTGCATTTAACTGTCATAACCTCTTCCATCAGGACTGGTTGTTTTGTGGAGCTCTCTTTGGCTTATTGTGAGAACGTGCAAGTTCCCTCCAGCTTTTCTCTTAAAATCACATCCACTGTTACTCTTCTGGCTCTTGTTTCAAACGTTTGGTTCTTTCCAGTTGCATGAACAGTTTTTGTGCTGTTAGCACCTGAGGAAAAACACCCAGCCACGAGGATACACATCAGGACTGAAGATGTGCTGAGCTTAGGCTCTGGCTGTTCTTTATTAAAGATAACTGCTGTTGATCTACTCTTTTGGGGTTGGCAACTTCCATACTGAAAACCACTGGTCTAAATCTTCCTGTGTCCATTGCAACTTACAGCAACTGATTTTGTAAAATGAAGGCTTTTTGGAAGCTAGAAGGAAAACTGCCTAATTCCAATACTTGTTTACAGTGTGGTTGTATAGCTGTAAAGAGGGATTCTGCGCCTCCAAATTGCTGTAAAAACTTCCCACTGGGTGGAATTTGACTGGTGAATGTTCCAGTATTCAGAGTAGTTCCTGGGTTTTATTACACAAAGTACACACTTAAGCTTTAGCTTGGTTATGAAATACAGTGTATATCTTAATTTTGATCTGAATTTGATATGTTGCAAAAATCCATATAATTATATGGATCTATTTTAAAATGTCTTTTTCTCCACTGTATATGTGAAGTTTGAATAAAGGAATGAAAGTTATTTTACAGTTACATGCATTCTCAAGTGTGAGCTTTCCTGGAGTCCCAGAGAAATTGAGAGTGAATAAGGCAATAGGATGCTCTCCTTTGAAAGATTTTTACAGACATGATTCATTAGACTGGATTCAGCTGCCAAAGATACCTGTGAGTTGTGCTAACTGTGTTTTGTAGTGTGCCTTTCCCAACAATCTCCTCTCCTTAGTAGGTAACAGGGTAGTCAGTTTTGGGTTAGTTAATCTTTTAACTTCTTGAATTGAGATTAATAGGGTCTTTTCACAAGAAAGAGTTGAACTGGTGATTCTGGCCAGTGTGGTAGTGCTAGTTTTTCAACATGCAGAGTGCTATTTCTTCTTGTATCAAATGTGGTCACTTGCATAGAGTAAACAGGGGCAAAGGGTAAGCATTTAGATACTTCTGACTTGTCAAGTCACTTACTGTAGCTTTCAAATTGGCTCCTAAGAATAGGATTTCAAAACTTTAGGTTTGTACCTTTTATAAACCAGCTTGCAGTGTTAAGCGTGTTGGCCTGCGTGCACTGAGCTCTATTTCAGGCTGAGCAGCTGCTGGCCTGGCCTGCCCCAGCTGGGCACTGAACTCCTGCTGAGAGCGTGGCCGTGCTCAGCAAAGCCGTGTGGCTGTCAGACTGAGCGTGGACACGGTTAGCAGTGTGTGCAGGTACAGCAGTGTGCTCTGTGAGCCGTGGGACAGATCACTTGTACTTTGTGCTAAGTACCCACGGGTACTTCACACCTGCGATTAAGGTAGCTCTTACCCAAGCCAATGTCCTGCCCTCCTTAAGCCCCCACTTTCTTGTGTCCAAGGCCATTTGGTGCTCACCAGGGCTTCTTTGTACCTTACAAGGTCTAGAAAGCATTTTGTTTAACAAACAAACTTTGCTTACTTCCAGTAAAGACCTTTCCTGTAATGGCTTCCAAAATCCTCAATAAAATTAGTATGAAGCTTTGAGGGAGGTACACAAATGCATGAACATGGTTTTAAATGAACCACATAATGTATAGTAGGTCCCTTTATCATTCAGGTGATTTTGAGCTGCTTGGGTGATCTCCCTTTTTCTGTGCCACTAAGCACCTAAATTCCAAGTCTGATGCTGTTTTGAAACTTGATTTAGTTTGGGGTTTTTTAAAGGCTTTGTTCTCTGCATTTTCCTCAGTGCTCGCAAAAATTCTGTTCACGGTGCTTCTTTGTCTTCCTCAACAGAAGTGCAACCCAATGCCCTTGACACTGCTTCTAACTGAAAGGCTGGTTTACTTGGTTTTCTGTGCTTACCTTGATGCATTTTAAAAGCTAAATTGGGCAAGTTTTACTTTGCAGTAGCTCCAGAAACTCCATATAGTTTTTTTTTTTTACAAAGGGATGTCTGATTTCCCTCTGCTTGAGAAATACCAGCTAGAGTTCCCTGCTGAATGGGGACAAGAGAAGAAATGTGTTTTCTCTTTTTGCATTTGATGAGGACTTAGCTTGCTTGCACATCTTAATCTTTAGGTGCACATGGTAAATGCTCATGTGTACAATTCAGAGTGGTGTAAAGAGGAAACAAACACAGCACCTACTTATGTGGACAGTGAGCTCCACAGCACCATAATTGTGAATCTTCTTGCACAGGTTTAAGTCCTCAAGCTGTATCCTGTTTAGAGAAAGCATTTTCAATATGCTTCCATTAGGAAGATCACTTACAAATAAGAGCCTTAACTCATGTGCATAGATTTTATGTTTTCTGTCCATAGTTGCTTTCCCACCAACTTGTACAATTAATGGAAACTGCAGATACTTTTTCCACAGCTCACTGTCTCATGTGAAACTTGTACATCTTATCAGAACTCTTTGTTTCTGTAACATGCTTTTTTGTGGTATTATGATGCCACCTCACTAATGTAATTATTTTGTTTGAAACCAGTGTTAAGTGTCACAACATAAATAAAACCATTGTTTTCATTACTGCCTTATGACACTAATACTAATCTAATGTTTGGCTTCTTGGAGCTCTTCAGAAGAAACTGGCAGCTAAAATTTGCAGGTGTGTTCATAGATAAATTCTTAAACCAATATTGCAATTTCCTCATGACTCATTCATTGTAACTTTGATGTAAATTGGTTTGTTCACACAGATTTTCTGGCTTGCCTAGACCTGAGGGTAGATCTGGTAACCTAAGTAATGAACTTGAGATAGTACCACAGAAAAGGTTGCATTTTTCAAGGTGTTTTTCTTTGTGTGTTTTAGTATTTAAGCACAACTGATGTATCTCTTCATGGTCAACACTAAGTCATCACTCACTAGCATGGAGTAATGGAAAATGACTAAGAGCAGCTACTTCTTAGGAGGTAAAACTCTTCCTCAAAACAGACCTGGGCTCTTTTCAGTTACATACTTCAGTTGAAAAGTAAATTTAACAACATAAATGCAGCCTCAGTGATACAAATATTAACATGCTGCTTTTCCTGAGTGGGTGTGACTTGAATGCCTAATCAAAATAGAGGTAGTTTGGCTAGTTTTGGTGAGGGACAGCTCACAAAAATATAGTTGTTAAATCTGCGTAACTTGTAGTTTGTTCTGACATTTCACAGTCTTAGGAAAAAAAACCCCTGACATTCTAAATCACAACTGACTGAACCAACAAGTGTCCCTCTGCTTCTGTGAAAGGACACCTTAACTGAGGGCGGGACAGTAAGGGTACAGCAGGCATTCTGCTTCTTGGAAAGAACTTCTGTTTCCCTCCTTCCATGTTTATCATCGCAGCACTGAAAGGAAGTGGGGAGAGAGAATGGGAAGAATATGAAAAAACAAAAGAGATAAAACAAGGGGTGAAACTTAGTGCAGATGCAGGGGTGTGAAAGCTGCAGGGGGTAGGTGGTCTCGCTGGAAGCAGGTATGGAGCTCCTCAAGCTCCAGGAGGAGGCAAGAGTGAACATCCTCTACTTCTGTCAGCTTCTCAGCATCGTCCCTGTGACCGCGGGATGGAGCCTGTGACCTGTGACTGCTTCCTCTATGACAAGTTTAACTTGGATAGCAACTTCTACTTCTCTGTCGCTTCTTTTGAGGAGGAGTGGGGCTGCGTGGTGCTCCTGTCTGTCGGTTTTACATCTGGGAACATTAACACCTAACTAGTTAAAGATCTTTTTCTGTATTCTCTTAAATGAATAGAAATCTACAATGTTTTGTTGTCCTTCACTGCAAACTGGAGAATGCAACATGGTCCTGTTCACTCTACTTCAAAATATGATCTGCTCTAGTTCAAAAAGTATTGTCGGACAAAGGTTTGGTAAGAAACCCAAGCATGCACACTTGATAGTCCTTGACAGGAAAACCTGCGGTTTGCGTTTCTCCTTCAAAGACTCCTTTGAGTCTCCCCGGCGAGCTATTTCCTCTATCTAGAAGTGAATCCCACCGGAGAGCACCGGGGCTGGCTCTCTCTCCCTGCTGGTGGCACCCTCAGCAGGACCCGTGCCCGTCCCGCCGCCCCCTGCACGGCGCTGGCTCGCTGGGGCCGGGGCTGAGGGCGGAGCCGCCTGAAGGAAGCGGCCGCTCTCCACCCGGTACAACTGCTCCGGGGCCCGCCCGGGCCTTCCTGCGCGTGTCTCAGCCGCGAGGGAGCCATCCCCCGTTTAATGAAGAGCTGACATTTAAAAACACCAAGCAGGTACCGGGCTGAGCGGGGCCCGGCGCCACCCGGCCCGCCCCGCCCCACGCAGCGTCACGGCGACCAACGCCGGGCCGGGCCGTGGCCGTAGCGATCCGGGCAGCCGCGGAGACGGAGCTGCCGATTGGAGCGACCGCCTGTCCATTGGTGGTGCCGGCTGTCACTCTGAGCTTGCTGGGGCGGGAGCAATCGCTGCGGTGCCGGCGGTTGGCTGCGCCGTCTGAGCGGCCGCGCTCATTGGGCGTTCTGCCTACTGAGCCCTCCCCTCTCGCGTTGTGATTGGTCAGCGCGCCCCCCGCTCTCGCGGGCGGTCGCTGCTGGCTGCCCGGGCCGTCAGTCGCGCCCGGGCGGGGCGGGCACAGGGCGCTCCGGCCACCGCCCCCGCCCCGAGTACCGCCCCCGCCCCGCCCCGTCCCGCCCCGCCCGCCGGCCCTGGCCCGGTCTCGCCTCGCCCCGGGTTCGCCGCGCCACCACCGCCAGCAGCCGCAGCAGCGGAGGCAGCGGCGCGCCCCGCCACCATGAAGGTGACCGTGGACTTCGAGGAGTGCCTGAAGGACTCGCCGCGCTTCAGGTGCCGCCGAGAAGGGCCGGGCCGGGGTCGTGCCGGGGGACAGGAAGCGGGGCCGGGTGTGTGCGGGGCGGGCCGGGCTGTGCGGGCGCTGGGGGTGACAGGTGTGACGAGCTGCGGGCAGCCGGCCTTGGGTGGAGGGGCAGGCAGGGGCTGTGTGGGTGCTGCCGTGGTGTGGGGGCTCTGAGGAGGAAGGGGAGGGCGGTGTGGGAAGTGCAAGGAAGAGGGGCAGCGTGTGCGGGGCTGGGTGTGCGGGGCTGGGTGGGCAGCGTGCAGGGCTGGGCTCCTGCGGAGGCACCGCCGTGAGCAGTGAGCACTGAGCACTGCTGGGGTCACGCCTTGGAGGAGATGGGGGTGAATGGTGGCGGTGCAGGGAATGCTGGTCAGCCCAGCAATGTCAGCTGAGACTCGGGCTCAGGAGGGTGAACTCTTTGGTGGTCTGTCCTCGGTTCTTCAGAGTTGTGCTCACACTTCAGTTCCCAGCGTCTCCTGCCTGCGTTCGGTGTGGCCACTGCTGGGGTGCCAGCAGCAAACAAGCTCAGTATCGTCTTACTTCCTGTTGTCAGAGCAAGGCACGCACTCCTTTGTTTTTCCCCAGCCGAGTGACCAGTTGTCTATCATTGCTGTAGGGTTATTTCTGCTTATGTCAGGCAACATATCCCTCAGTCTTTCTTTATGTTTTTACCCATTCTATATATGTATTTTACACGGTTGTATCTAATCAACATAATCGTGCCTCTCTTTGGGATGTGTGGCTGGTGTGTGCTTACATTCACCCAGTTTCTGTGCCTGGTATTACCCTGCTAGATGGTGGACACACAAACAGCTCCATGACGTGATGTGTCACTGCTGTGCCTGTCCTGTCCCATGCCAAGCTCATATCTCAAGCGCCTGTGGCTCTGTGGTGAGCTCTGGATGTTGAGGGAAATAGTGCTGCTCTTCCTCTGCTCTCTGGCCGTATGTTCACGCCTCCTCTTTGTATCAGCTTTAGCAATTCTGTGGTATCTGGGATGTAGAGGAAGTTGGAGAAGGAAGGTTGGTTGAATGGCTTACCCTTGGCAGAAGTTGGAGTTCCTGTTCTTCCCTGCTTTGCTGCTGCCTCTGCTGCCAGTTTGTCGCTGGCTGCTTCTCCCACGGGTTTTTTGGTGGCTGTGACGTGTGTTGTTGGATCCTTCAGTGAGCTGGGTGCCCTGGCAGAGGAGACTGGATGGTTCTCTGCCAGGTTAGTGAGTTGTGTCAGCGTCTCAGTGGGTGTGAAACCTACTAAGGCTTATGGGGAGTAGAGAGAGGAAACTTCACTGCCAGAAGCAAGGCTAGAGGAAGGCAGTGGAGAGTGAGACCTCCCTTAGGGCAGCAGGCAACTTTTACATTGGCTTAGCTGTTTCACAGAACTGTGTCCTGAGCTGGACATGCTTGCTAGTGTATATACATCTGAGAGAACTGTATTTAGTGTTGGTCCATCCCATTTGGTGGCAATGCAGTTGTAGATTGGCATAATTTAACAACAGAAATATACCAGTACTATTATTATTTAATTACTCATACCTGCTGAAGTACTAAATACACTCAAGCAAACAAGAAGCTGTGACTTAAATTTGTGAGCAGAAGTGTGCTGCTGTTTCTTCAAGGTAAGGCTACTAGTTCATTTGAATTTACTTTGTAGCATGTCCTTTTGCCCCTCTTGATTCCTTTCCTTCGAGGAAAAGAAACTGGAGAAAACCCCTTGTTAGGGTGTTCTAGTACCTCATGGTCTTTCTCCCAGTCTGATACTACTACCTTTGAATAAATTGCAGAAAACCTTATGGTGTAATCACTTGATGCCATCAAAACATCCTTCCAACCTTTAACAGATAGTAAATTATTAAAATTGCTAGGCAGAATTCCTGTAGTATTTCTGAAAAAGTTCCATATCTTTCATTATTAGTCATCAATATTTGCTGTTATAATTTTGGTTATTCTTAATGTTCATATAAATTACCCAACCCAAAGAGTAGAAACCTTCTGATTGAAGGTTACTGCCGTGGTTTTATTGAGGGATGATAGAGACACTAATGTAGAGCAAGGTTGTGACAGAGTCCTGTGTTCTTGCAGGGGGTGGTGTGGGCATAAAGCAGCTTCTTGCTCTGTGTTCTTGTAGCAAAGCTGAGCTGCAGCTTTCTCCTGACCTTGCTGAGCAGGAGGGTGTAGCCTCTGTCCTTCCTGTCAGTATACCTGTCAGAGCTGTTAAATAAAACTGTTGGGAGGTATGTCATGAATAAAAATGTCACAGGTTACTTTCTTATGGTTGTGGTGATAACTGGGAGGACACGGGTGAATCAGAGTTCCTGAGTCACTGAACCCCTGTTTTCATGGGGAACTATTTAAATCTTTCAAAACATGCTACTACAGGCAGCTTCAGCCACATGGCTTTCCTTCCTTATCTATTTCTTGTGAAGTTCATGTTGATATTTCTTGGCTTTGAGATTTAATTGGGCCCCAAATCACAACACCTAAGGTCTGTTTCCTTGCTTAAAGTGCTTGTGGAGGGATGGTGGTTTGTAGCTGTTGAGGTGCTGATATGTGATGTGATAATAATGACTATAAAGGTTCACGTCAGAAGTATGAGTTATTTCATAGCAAGGAATACCAGGGTTTTTTTTCACTCTACAGTAGATGATAAAGAAATCTCTGAATTACAAAACCTGAAGCAATAATGGCTTATTGTATCACTAGATTTGTAAACTTAGAATATGCCAAATCAGTTTGTAGTTGGAGATTTGATGTTTAGAAACTGATTTTTGAGGTAGTGGGAAAGGCTATGAGTTCAGGCACACTTATGCAAATGTGCAGTCATGGTTTTTTTCTAAACTTGCTTTGAAAATACTCTTGCTGAAATCACATGCTTTTCTGTCATGATCCCCTCTCCCAAAACATGGACACACCAAAGATCTGCTGAGGAAATGCGTTTGCAGTTCGTGTCAATGACTTCCCATCAAATGAAGAAGTTGGCTGAGGAGGGGTTTTGGAGCAGCCCTTGAACAATAAGAACTGAGCTGTGCTGGCAAGTTCTGTGTACATAATCATGCATTCCTGCAGTAGTTTTTAAATATGCAAATAGCATTGTGAAATAATTATTTCTCCTTTAAACAATGAGAGTTTAAGTTTCAGAGTTTAATGGAACAGGCTTCTACGTTGCTGTTTCATTTTCATTTTTTCTTCTTCTACCTATAAAATGTTTTTTCTCAATGAGGTATCACTGTAGCAACCACATGAATCATTGGAACTAAATTACTAGAAAGGAAAAGCAATTTTAAGTGATGTGGAAATACAGCTGCTCTAAGTAGCAGTTAACAATTTTGATAAACAGCAAGTAATAGAAAAAGCAAAATTCAATTGCTCGTAATCTATGCAATTGTAGAACTCTCTTCAAAAACATTCAGGCTGATCCAGGCTTTTTATTAAAGCTGTGGTTTTGAGATCATTTCTTTGTCCTTATCTGTCACTGTTGCCAAAGTTTAAAATTTTTTGCATTTAAATTTCTATTCATTTCCTGAGACCCCAGCTGCAGAACAGATGATGGGTGAATGAGGTAGATCAAAATATAAATGAAACTGTTGTCAATTACCATTCTTAGTAAAAGTATTTTTGGGTAGTTTCTGGGTATAACTGTGGTTATAGTGTATTCCCTTCAAAGGGACTCATCTGAGGAGTCTTCCATTTTGCCTGAGCTACAGCCCTGCTCTGGGGGCAGGCCTGTGTGTGAGGCTGGCTTGGCACTGCAGTTCCCTGCTATGTGCTGGCTTTCTTCTGTTGTGGCTTTGGCCCTGCTCTGTCTGTGTGGGGCCAGCTGAGCTGCGCCTCATGCTTATCCAGGGCATGCAGGTTGAAGAGGTCACTTGTCCCACTTTCTGGCTTTCTAGATTTATGATGTATTTTTTCTCACTTCTTTTGCACTGTGTAACCAATGGTTTGTCATTAAGCATCTGTTTCCCAAATAGTAGTAAACATTTTGTCACTTAAACTATGAGTAATATAAGAAAGTAACTTATTTAACCTATTTGGAGGTTGTGTTCAGCAGTCAGCGAAATTATCAAAAGTGCCTAACCCATATGCTTTGGTCTGCTCATTACCTTCTGGAGAAAATGTAAAGATAGGAACATCAGGAGAGTAATCCCTTCAGTTCCAGTGGGGAAGGGTGTTGGAGGGCAGCTGCTTCCTAACCTGCTGTGAGGAGCAACAAACCCCTGGTGTTCAGCCTGGGTTTATAGCTCAGCGGGGATGTGGCTCCTCTGCAATCACCGGGGCTGCTCCTGGGGGTGAACTCAGCCACATGGCAAGTGTGAAAAGGAATGAGACCAAGAACTCTGTGTACAAAATCTGGTTTGCTCAGACTTACCTAGCTGTTTTAGAACAAATTTCCAAAGAAATGTTTGGTCTGGGCTTTCTGCCCTTGGTATTTGGGACTGAAAAGCAAGTTTGTAACGTGCTTGGCAAGGGAGGATGGAAACTATTGCAGAAGAATAGGAAAAAAGATACAATAAGTCAAAAGAAAAAGCTGCCAAGCATTTCCTTTTGAGTTTGCATTTAGCATATCTCATACTTACGTGGTTGTTAACGTTTATAATTTCCTGTATGAGACTGCAGAAGTTCACTTTTTGTAGCTGAAGTGACGTGGAGGACAGTCTAGGAGGGGTGTCGATAAGTTACACGTGTACAACATCCCTGTCCATGCTGCTGGGACTCTGGTGGAGTTAAACTTAGTTAAACTGATTCTGGGTTTCTAGTTCTGCACTTCTGTGGGGATTGCAGTGACTGTCCTGTTCTACTCAGGCTCTAGTCAATGGATTTATTTTTAAATTTGTAACTATGCCTTTCAAATATACATTAAGGAAATGATTGGCCTAAAGAAAGGGAGATGCATTTGAGCACAGTGTGCAATGTCAGAGCATTTTTTTTGAGGGAAATTGTTCAGGAATAAAGAAGGTTCGTTGAAGATCACTCACAAATACATCTCCAAAAAATCT